AGCGGGAATATTTCTCATTTGGAACAGTAACCGGACCTACCAGCTAGAGTGTAGTCCATGTCGAACCCAAAGCACTTGATTTTCTCCATGGCAAGGCTGCGGTTAACAAACACCCTGCAAAAAAAGGAATCTGGTAACCATTACAGGCAGCAGAGCCCAGTTTGAACTGGGATTCAGGCTGAGACTTTACACAAAGGGTTTAAGGATGGTTTATACGATGCTTGATGTGTCACAGAAGAAACGTGAGGAAAAAAAGTGACATTTTTGTCAAAACCTCAAAGAGCAAAATAAAAAATACTCGCAAGGATATGAAATTACTTTCGAACATGAGTTCATCCACTGTTGAGCAGAAAAAGCAACCAGCACGAGGAACTGCAGCTTCTGGGGAGAAAATAGCTCTGCTGATTCCTAGCACACGCAGTGAGAATCTCACCACACATGTGCAAACCCTGTTCTACTCGTGCACGAGTTTCTGTCCAGCGCCCTTACTCGCGGACGACTGCGCTCTCGAAGGTGCATTTTTCACAGGTGGGGTGGAGATATTCCTCTTCTGTAAGCATCTTCCTGATTGGCTCATGAAGACATGATCACACAAAAAGTAGTGTCTGGAAGGCTTGGACTGACAGCATTATCTTTGAGCGAAGACAATGGCTGAAGGTGGCACAGTGGCGAAGGTCTCTGCGATGTTTGCGGTACATAGGTTAAATGGAATTCCGAGCAGTTCATCCCAAAAAGGCACTAATATCCCAGAGTAAGTAGTGCTATACTTCCTGTTTCATTGTGAGCGCCTCCCTGGGTGCGCATGGGAGGAACAGGTGCGCCCGCGATGCTATTTTCTCCATGGAAGCTGCAGTTCCTCAAGCGTGTCAGATTTTTTTGTGCCATGATTAAGGAACTCATGCACGAACGTAGTTTAACATATTCGTGATGTGATGTGATAGGAAAGGATTCTCCCACATCACAGAAGACATGCAGCAAACATTTAAGAAGTCGCTTTAGGTTATTCTATCATGTGACGACATTAGGATGTTACTGGGATGATGAAGGGAAGCACATCAGAGGGAGTGAGAATCGTCCGCTTCGGACCTAAATGCTGAACAGTGGAAACAATGAACATAGCTGAATATGGCAAAGCGTAGCTGAACATGAGCTTAACATGGCTTTGCATACCCGAACATGACTAAGCATAGCTGAACATGGCTAAGTGAAGCTGAACATGGCTTAGCATAGCTGAACATTGCTAAGTGTAGCTGAACATGGCTTATCATAGCTGAACATAGATTAGCATATCTGAACATGGCTGAGTGTAGCTGTACATGGCTTACCATAGATGTACATGGCTAAGCATAACTGTACATGGCTTAGCATAGCTGAACATGGCTAAGCGTAGCTGAACATGGCTTAGCATAGCTGAACGTGGTTTAGCATAGCTGAACATGGCTAAGCATAGCTGAACATAGATTAGCATAGCTAAACATGGCTAAGCATAGCTGAACATGGCTTAGCATAGCTGAACATGGCTAAGCATAGATGAACATGGCTTAGCATAGCTGAACGTGGTTTAGCATAGCTGAACATGGCTAAGCATAGCTGAACATAGATTAGCATAGCTAAACATGGCTAAGCATAGCTGAACATGGCTTAGCATAGCTGAACATGGCTAAGCATAGCTAAACATGGCTAAGCATAGATGAACGTGGTTTAGCATAGCTTAACAGGGCTAAGCATAGCTGAACATAGATTAGTGTAGCTAAACATGGCTAAGCATAGCTGAACATGGCTTAGCGTAGCTGAACATGGCTAAGCATAGCTGAACATGGCTTAGCGTAGCTGAACATGGCTAAGCATAGCCGAACATGGCGTAGCGTAGCTGCCATTCTCTTGTACCCTTCCTTTAAACTTTCCTTCTCTGTGTTATGGACTAAATCTGCTGTAGAGACACCAAGTCAGAACTTCTTCTCCCCAAGAACATGATGGATCTTGAAGAGCCTTTATTAGATAGACCAACACTAAGAAGGGGAAGGAGGAACACACACCCTCCAGAGCCACAAGGTGCAGCTGAGATTTACCCTGATTTCAACTGCCTGAGACCCTGATTATACTGTAGGGTTAAATAATCTGTGGCAGCGGGATCATTTCCCAGCAGACTGGATGTAGATTGGTCAAATGAGAGATCATAGACATTATGGAGGAAGATTAGGAAAGCTACAGGAACAAAACACTCACATGGACCACCATCTGGAGGTCGTATCAGTACGGAAACAGGTTTATGGGAGAATGATGTAATTTCATGGAAACACTAATACCAGTTTTTTTCAACAACAGAAGGATTGCGTACCTCATTGCAGGATGAGCCAGATCCCTCGGAAAGCTTTGTAATAGAAAATAAATGGATTACGAGTGATCGCATAACTGCCCAGCCACAAATGATAACATCATACCAACATGTCTAATCTAATGTGACTAGATCTGCTGCAACTAGTGATCAATAAATCATTTCCTCAACAGACCTGGGTTAGTTTAGAGTATAACAAACATAAATACAAAATGATCACTTTAGAGGCAAACATACGGAAGCTCATTGCATTCACCAAAGAAAATAAATTCTGACGGCTTATAATTACGAGATCGGTATCTCGAAATTATGAGATCTTTTCTCATAATTACGAGACAAGATCTCATAATTAAGAGATAAAATGTCATATGTAGGAGATCAGGAACTAGCTGTGGGTCTAGATACGGTCGAGACGGTGAGAAAGTAGGGAAGTGGGGTTTGTGAGACAACGGAGGGACATAAGGGCGAAAAAGAGCGGGGATCCAGGTGGAAAAAGGGTGCCAGCATTCTAGCGCACCGCTCTCTTCTAGCTGGTCCAACTTCACCAGTCTTTTTACAGAATGGCGGTCAAACAAACAAAGCAACCCAGTAAGGTAGCAAACAGGAAATACGCATATTGTAGAGCGGATTTAGATTTGACCAATCAGAGGCCTCCTGTCTGCGATCACCTACAATTTTGGAGAGGTGCAGCAGAGTGTCTGTGGAAGGAGCGGGGACATATGTTCGTTAACTGTGACACACGCAGACCACCTGGTCCTTAGGATTGTTTAGGCGAAAAAGCCCACTCTACTCTGACTCTGAAGTCGCACTGTTCCTGCAGGAGCAGTGAAACCAGCAGGGGATGCTTCATAAATGAATGCATCTGAAATGCATTCCAGCTGGGAGCTTCAGAAGTGTTTAAATCGACCGGGAAAAACTAAACTAAAAAAACTATGAAAAATTAAAACCATACGGAATCTGTGTTAATGGAGCTGTTGACGGATATTGGCGTGTGGTAAGGCTGCATGCTTACTCCACAAGTAGTAATCCCAGGGCTATAAATGGGTACTTTATTGATGAAGTGGAAAAAAGGAGTGGAACTCCAACACACGTGTCAGGTCAGATCTCGGCACAGAGAACTGTTGAGTGGAACGGATGCAGATATTCTTAAGAAGCAATAATGAAGACCAGTTTTCTGAGAGATGTTACATTACTGGCTCAAACAATCATGACCAAATATATAGGAAAGATCTCGTGTTTATGAGATCTTTCCTCATAATTACAAGATAAGATATCATAATTACGAGATCAGTAACTTGTAATTATGAGATCTAATCTTGGAATTATGAGATAAGCTGCTGTTTTTTTTCTTTGGTGAATGCAGTATGCTTCCGTACAAACATACAAGTTAGCTAAACATCACATACATTCAGTAACATGAGAGGTAAACAAGGACTTGGTGGTTCTGTTTAGAGAGAGGCTNGCTTCCGTACAAACATACAAGTTAGCTAAACATCACATACATTCAGTAACATGAGAGGTAAACAAGGACTTGTTGGGTCTGTTTAGAGAGAGGCTGCTGACTCTAATGCTACGTTCACACCTTAAGCAGCAGAGGCAGCAGGAGCAGCTAGTTTACATGCAAAGTCAATGGTTGACACGCATCAAGGTGCAGCAAAAGGTCCTTCAGCGTGTTTTGAGCAGCAGGAGCAGCGTGTCATGAGCTTCTGAGCATCTGATGCGCTGCAAACGCAGCAGCTGCTGGAGTTGGAAAAATGTAACATTTACTGCTGGATGCGCCACATCAACCAATCAGAGAAGCTGATCTGGGAGCTGGCAGGGAGACAGACACAGCACTGCTGATGCAGAGCGCTATGATCACTCCTCTGAAACAGTTTATTAATGGCTAAATTAATTGAAAATGACGGGATCTGCCGGGAAAACATGTTTGATTTTATTATCCTGGTGCCTGCAGTTTGGATTACGTAGCGCCACCGCGGCAAACCGGCAAACGACCGGGCCAGAGGTTGCTGTTGAATAGGATTGTTAGTGACAGCGCACCACCGATATGCGGGGGTCTGAGCAGCTTTGACAATGAAACATTATTTGTAGGCAGGATGGTAATCTTGATGTACCAACTGCACAGATTAAGTATTCAGGTGGACCTTCTCACTTGAAAAACATATTAAAACTACTTTTTACCCACTGATCACTGCAAATATAGCTGCCATTGTAACAGCAAAAGAAAGGATAGGGTAGCTCCGTCCACCGTGCATCAGACCCAGTTTTGCTGCGCCTTGATGCCCGTCGACCATTGACTTTGCATGTAGACTAGCTGCTTCCGCTGTCTCTGCTGCTTGTGGTCTGAACGTAGCATTAGCGATCATTCACTGAGCTTAGGACGGACTGGAGGAGACCTGCTGGGTATTCTTCCTGTGAGACATTGTGTTAGCTTTAACAGCACTTCATTAAAAATCTATTCTAGCTGCATAAAGCCAATAGTGTTATTGGAATCCAGGACAAGACCTTATTACCTTTGTTACATAAAAAATATGGATATTTTGATGGCAAAAATGAACGTCAATGTAATAACAAGAAACCCCAAATTGCCCGAATATATTAAGAAAAAATAACAATAGTGCTTCTAAAAGAAATGAATGAAAAACACTCTGAGAGTGAAAGAAACACATTTTTTGGTCCAACATAACCTTAGAGGCATTAATGCTGATACTGGCTCTTACATTTGTTAGTTTATAAACCTAAATATAATTGTTAACTAGGTTTATTAACCTTTTAACATTTCAATTAGTTTTTTAAATTTTTTTCTTGACTTTGTAACTTTTTTCCAACTTAATTTACAGTAGGTAATATATCACTCAAGGGCTCATCTAATCGGTGAAATGACAAAATAAGATTTATAGCCATGTAGCAGCATCTTTGCTGAATGGCTGAATATAGATCTTGTGCTTTTAGACCTCACTGAGGGATGGGGGGTAACTTGCCCTATAAAGCAGGAGATCCCTCCTGTAGGAGCTCTATGTTCCCAGGAAGAGCTGCTCACGATCATAAGGGGCTTGAAAAAAGAGCACCCAGGGAAGCCCAACCAGGAAACAGGGAGGGAAGTTCATAAAAGAAAAATCAGGAACCTAAAATATAAACTAGCGTGGATATGATTGGTGTGCTGTCAGAGCTGGGTCTGCCAACAGACAGGTGTGAATGTACCTGTGGTGAGCTTCACGCCGATATTTCTTCATAGCCATGCCGTCCATGTTAGCTGGTAGCTCAGCACAGTTCTGCAGGCGGTCACTCCATGAAGTCGTCATCTTTAACCGTTAAAAATGGTCCTGCAATGAGTCAGAACCAGGCTGGTCACCTTCAGAGCAACAAAGAGACTGAGAAAGAAAGAAGTCTGTTGCACTTTTTGAGGCTGGATTCCCCTGGGAAACGTTTGAAAAATACAACAAAGGACTACTGCTCTAGGGATACATCTTACAATCATGTGTATTAGAACATCAAATCTAAACTTTTGTTAAAGATTCTCATGAGTCTGGTTGTTTTCTTGTCCTGTAGGTAACTATAAGATCTAAAGGATAAGAACACATGGCATACTATGCATCCTGTACCTTATTATGTCATGGTCTTGGTTCTGTTTAAGTTTTCAGTTTCACTTTGATCCATGTTTTCCTTTGTTTTATTGGTTTCATTCCTATTTGGTGGTGTTTTCTGGATAGATTTGAGTTCTTAGGAATTGCTTGATTGTCTCCTTTTCCCTAGCTCCTTTCAAGAATCATCTGTTCACACCTGCTCCCAATCAGCTCATTAGATGTAGACTTAGATTTATTTGGTCATTTTGTATACACAAGTGTAAACAAAAGGAAATTTAGTTCAGGACGGCTCTATAGACGATCTCATTCTTCAAAATGCAGCCTTGACAAGGCAAGCAGCAGTGATAAAAAAAACGCCAAAACATTGTGATATTAAGTCACTATATCTACAGTCATGGTCAAAAGTTTTGAGAATGATTCAAATGTTAATATTTACAAAGTCTACTGCTTCAGTTTTTATAAAGGCAATTTGCATATACTGCAGAATGTTATAAAGAGTGATCAGCGTAACAGCAATTAGTTGCAAAGTCAATATTTGCCTAGAAAATGAACTTTATCCCCCAAAACACATTTTAACGTCACTGCAGCCCTGCCTTAAAAGGACCAGCTAACATGGTTTCAGTGATTGCTCCATTAACACAGGTGTGGGTGGTGATGAGGACAGGGCTGGAGATCAATCTGTCATGATTCAGTAAGAATGAGACCACTGGGCACTTTAAAAAGAGGCTGGTGCTTGGCATCATTGTTTCTCTACTGTTGACCATGGTTATCTCTAAAGAAACACGTGCAGTCATCATCGTAGCTAGAAAGATTGCACCTCAGTCAACAATCTATCGCATCATCAAGAACCTCAAGGAGAGAGGTTCCATTGTTGCCAAAAATGCTCCGAGGCGCCCAAAAAAGACCAGCAAGCGCCAGGACTGTCTCTTAAAAGTGTTTGAGCTGCGGGATGGGGCTACCAGCAGTGCAGAGCTT